CTTCGAAGAAACGGTAGATGAGTCTGGCAAGGTCTCGGTTCTCTCTCGCGTAAATGCGCAAGGTTTCCGTCAAATCATTCAGGACTTTCTCATTGGAAGCTTGGTTCATGAGGAACTCACCTTTAAGTCCCTTCATCTCTTCCATAAGACTACTTTGGAGAGTCTTAACGGTGTTTGTCAGATGAGCTTTCAAATTCAAAATTTGAATTTGAACTGGGCGCTTGTCTGGCAACATTGAAAGGACATCTGCCATTGTGTTCGGCTTCGGTGCTTGTTCGGACATCGAAAAAATGAAGTGGTTTGAGAATGACGGTTTTACTTCAAAAAGCTTGTTATGACGGTTAAGTCATACAACAAGTTTAAAATAATATCTTGTTCTTCTTCTGAACGTTTGTTGTCTCTTCCGATAAAAGTTTCGAACATGAGAACCAAAAAACGTTTTTTGAGATTGCGGAAGAGTTCAGGCAAACGTTCATATTCTGGATATGTTGGGAGCAGTTCAAAACATCTGAGCTGACTTTCGGACAAAATTGGGACAATGTCAGAAAATTCATCTTTGGTCGGACTGCTTGAAGGTAAGTCCCTTACATGTAAGTAGCTCTGGTAAAGTCTTCTCATTTCTGCTAACTTTTGGAGTATAGCTTCGTAGTTTAGAAGTTTTAATTTTAATTGTCTTATTCCACTCTTGACATCTAAACGGTAACTATCCATGAGGTCAAGAGTAGCTTTGGTAGCTTTAAGTGGAGCTATCTGTTCCTTGACTCCTGCAATTTTGGTTGCAATTGTGATTTGAGCTCCTTCAAGTTCGCCGTCTATGTCGTTCTCAACGCCTTCAACCATAGCTTGAAACTCTTCATCGGTCCATTGAGATTGGTGTGGGACGAATTTAACTTGCTTCATTCAAAAAATGAAAAAAAAATGTTTTTACTCAAAACGTTAAGGTTGACTGAACTGGTTGGATGTCGCCTTCACAGGTTATGTGAACGGCTGACCCGAGAAGTGAAGAGAGACTGAATTGCCAATTTCATATGGGGTAGGGGTCTCCTTGTTTGTATTTTTATCCAAGGACGTTTGTTTAGGAACTTAACAAGAGCTTCTCTTTGGCGTCCTTTATGCCATCGTAGGCTGTCCGTCTGGTATTTGAATTGGAATTCCAGTCGAAGTCTCGAGCTGAAGTGTAGACCTTCCAGAAATAGTGGTGAACTTGACCTTGGGCTTCATTACCCTGCGCAAGTACTGCTTAACAACTTCATTTAACTCTATAAGGTAAATTGCCTCGTCAAATCCTTCTGGTATTCCAGTCCTTCCATCCGACAGGAAAATATTTTTCCCGACAACTGGAAAAAATTTTCCCGACGACAGGAAGGACTCTTCCAGTTGTCCGTCCGTAAACCATTCAAATTTTCGAAAATTGAGAACTTTTGTCGAACTTCAGAAAAAGTTTTTCCTTCCGACAGGAAAGGTTTTTCCTTCCGACAGGAAAGGTTTTTCCTTCCGACAGGAAAGGTTTTTCCTTCCGACGGTTAAGCCACAAACAGATGTCCGAGTACCACCAACCGAGCCCATTCCCAAACCAGAGGAACCTAAAGCACCAGCCCCTGCACCTCAGCAACCTCAGTTCCAGCAAGTCCCTCCACCAAATTACTACCAATTTCCACCTCAAGGTTACTACCTACCACAAGGCTTCCCGAACTACCCTCCTCCTCAGCCTATGCCTTACTTCCCCAACCCTTGGATGTTTATGCAAAACCCTGCCCCACATTTCCAATCTCAATCCAAGAGAGACCAAGAGTTCGAGGAAGGTCTGAACCGCTTACGCAAAGAGTATGCTACTACCCAATGGAAGAAGACAGGCTTTCAGTCTCTTCCCTCAAATCGACCGATTCGACTCGTACCACAGATTCGGTTCGTGACCGTGAAGACTACCTCAAGCAGTCTGAGAGACTCTTCATCCTACAATCATTTACAAACTGGAGCTCTCAAGAACATGCGCAATTACGAAGGTCAGACACCAGCTGGAGACCGCAAAACAGACGTACTCGCAAGAGCAGTCCAACTGGTCAAGACAAAGACTGAGATAGTCGACTTCATTCTTGCAGCTGCCCATAAAAAAAAATAAAACAAGTACGAGTTAAACTTTTTATTCTTTCTTTTCTGAGTTGTTTAGAGCTGGTTTCTCTTGTAGAAACCTTTCGTACTCTTCCATGGTCATGTAATTGCGAATTTGGTACGCAATTCCAGGTTCGTGTTTTTGAACCTTACGTATGTAACGCTTCCATCCTCCTCAGGGAAGTAAGCTGCTAACATCTGACCAAGTTTTCTCGGTGACTCGGAGCTCATAAAAATGTCACTTTTTAAACGTTAAGTTTTTAGTCTTATTTTACCCTTTGTTTACCCTTTGTTTGTCAATGTAGTATTGGAGTGCAATTTCTCCAAATTCTCTGTGTCGGAGTTCTTCAGCATTTTCCAAGGTGTGCCTGGAGAACTCAAAGAAGTTGTCAAGAACATACTGCCATGCTGCTCTTCTGAGTTCGTCGGTATTTTGGAAGTGTTGCACCTTCGAGTCTTCGGACATGAAAAAATGACACTTTTTCTATTAAACCGTTTACAATTTGAATTTTGTTGCTGAATTCGGCAAAAATATAATTTAGGGTAGATGGGTATATCTAACCTCTTTTCTACCCCGTTTTCTACCCTCATGAATTTGTCATGAGTTTTATACAGAATTCGGCAAAAATATAATTTAGGGTAGATGGGTATATCTAACCTCTTTTCTACCCCGTTTTCTACCCTCATGAATTTGTCATGAGTTTTCCCGAAATAAAAAATAAAGTTAGTTTTTTTAAAAAAATATTTTTTTATTTTTATTGTAAGAACATGTTAGCAACAACAGCACCAAACTCGTTAGTCATGAACCCAACTTCAATGTTAGTAGAAATGAAAAGCTTCATTCCTTCTTCATATACTTTTGAGACAGAAATCCAGAAGATAAAGCAAGAACTTTTAACAAGTAATTTAGACTGTAGTGCGAAAGATGAAACAAATGAACAGTATCTTTATGAAATGCAGGATATTATTGACCATTTACCCAAATTGCCTGAAATCCAACAACAAAAGCTTACTATTCCAGAATTCGATGAAATAGAAGTCAAAGCAACTGACTCAGTAGAAATAAAGAAGTTCATACGTAAGGTTAACTATGAGTTTCTTGGATTTCATTGCAACCACAAAGTCATGGACAAAGATTGCGATATGGTATATAAGAACATCTCTGACATATATAAATCTGAAGAGTTTAAGACCTACGACAACTTTGTTTCGTTAGTTGCAAAATGTGTATGGCAGATAAGAGATAAAGATAAAAGAGGTAAAGTATGGAACGAACAGATAAAACCAGCAACTTTTGAGTTAAAGAAAACCATTGACGCCTTAGTCATACTAGCAGGTAAGATTTCAATGTACAATGCTAAAATGAACCCGCAATGTTCAAAATGTAAAGCAGCAATTAGGAAATATAACTACTCCGTCAAAGAGATAGAACGTATGAGAAACGACTATGCTGACTTAAAGAGGGAGGCAGAGAAACCAGCAGAAAATAAAATGGACATGTTAGAATTTCTGAACAAAAACTATCCAACAGCTGACGATTTCCTTCTATCTGACGTCAAGAAGAAATATAAAGAGACTTTCGGTATCGTTAAAACATTCGATGTACTGACAGAAGAAATAGAAGCTACGAAATTGTTTAGAATTTCACGAATTCACAATGTTTACCATGTGAAACGTTTATAAAATAACTGGGGTAGAAATGAGGTAGAAAACGGGGTAGATATACCCTTCTACCCTAAAATATATTTTTATTGAATTCTGAGTAAAAATTCTGAGTAAAATGACATATGGAACACGTACTTTTTCAGTAAGGACATATGGGGTAGAAATGAGGTTAGAAATCGGGTTAGATATACCCATCTACCCTAAAAATATATTTTTATTGAATTCAGCACAAAACTCTTTATTTTTATTGACTTTTTACAATTTGAACTTTGTTCGCGTAGATGTGAATTCTGAAAGAAGTATGAGGGTCTTGTATGACTTTGTACTTCTCCCATAGTTCATGTCTGTCAAACTTACCTGCCATGGACTCTTTCATAAGTTCCATGAAATCGTCTTCGGACAATCCAGGGAAAAGTATGATATCAGTAAGTATTCTTTTAACATCCTTACTTAAACTTTGCTGTCTGTACACAAATGACAACTGAATGTTAAAGTGTCTGAGCTTCTTAAGAATTCGACACATGTCTTGTTCTCTATTCTTTAACAAAGGATGAGAAGCAAAGTCATCTAAGATAAGAAGACACCTATGAGGGTAAGTCTTCCAATCGTAAGATTGCAATTTCTTCGAAATGTATTCTATCTCTTTCTGTTTGTTTCTGAAGTGTTTCTTCTCTAATATTCTCTGCATTTCCTCATTTGGGTCTTTGAACTTAGAAATATACTCATTTATAGCATTATACTTCAAAACTCTTCTTTGGTACTTCTTTATCCAATCTAACAACTCAGTATCCTTTATACATACTAACTTAGACTTCTTTATAATATCTTTGAACGAATTGACGGTTTGGTCAAATTGACCAGAAGTACTACAAATGACAACTAACTCATAGAATGGGTTCTTCTCATCTAGTTCTTGTTGTTGTGCAGCCATTTTAAGATAAGTGAAAGTCTTACCCGACCCAGGTGGTGCGATTAGACCTGTTATACCATTCTGAGCAAATAAGAACTTGTCATGTATAGGCTTTATCTGAGCATTTTCTAACTTCCTCTTGTTCTTGTTTAAAACATTCTCAAATTTTTTGTCAATGTCAGCAAACTTTTTTTCTAACATATTTTTAGAAAAATTAAAATTTTTATCTTTTAGAAAATGTCTAGCGATTTCGCTATCTATATTCGAGACAAACTTTTCGACTCTAAAACTTCTGTCGACCATAAAATCTTACATAGTGTAAACAAGAAAGGTGAATTTGTTCTAAAGTTCTGTTTCTGGGAATATGACAAGAACCATAAAACATTAAGCAGAGAAGTCTTAAATTTGTCAATGACAGACTTGTTGACAGAGATGACGCTCTTGGAGAGATGAAGTCCAACAAAACTTCTTAGAATGCAAAGAAGACACATGCGCTGTTCTTGAAGATGAAATAGAAAACAGAATAGATGAGCTATTAAAGGACAAAGAACTTTTACATAAATATAGTTGCGAAATTTGACATAACTCCACCAGAGAAGAAGAAGAGAAAAGAGAAAAGAAAGAAAAGAAAGTAGAGAAGAAAGAAAGAACCTGAACCAGTTCCAGAGAAAAGAAATTTGACATGTAAAAATAAAATTTTATTTTTAGAACATTTCTGGGTCAATGTCAATGTTCTCTTCCTCTTTAGGAGCAAACACTGGCTTAGACTCTAAAATCTTTTTACCCAATTTACCTTGAACTTCAACTATCTTAGACTCATAATATTCATAGTCGTCTGCTTTCTTTGGTTCATAAGGTATAACAAGTTTGTATGCTTTGCCTTCTTTAAGGTTTGAGAAACCTTCTGTCAAAATTTCTTTGACTGTAACAAACCTTCTATGTCTAAGTCTTCAAATTTCGCACCATTTTTAGTCACAATAGCAAACTTAACTGGTTCGATGTTCCAAACTTTGTCTGAAATGTAGACTTTTCAAAATGGTAGAAGTAAACATTCAAATATGTGAATGGGTCTAGTTCTTCTTTAAGTCTGACATGTACTTGTTTACTGAAATATATTTCGTCATCTTTTCTATCGGATAAAAAATATTTTTTTTTAAATTTACTCAGAAAAATTTTTCTTTGTATATACGCCGTTCTGAACATCTAAAAGACTTTTGACATTTGCCAAGAATGTTCGTTTAGAAGCTGCCATATAACCATATTCTTGACAATATTGTTTATACGAATCGTACAATGACCTTTCATCTAAACACAAAGTCAGTTTCATCTATGAAACAGTTCATATACACTCTTGTTTGCTTCTAACAATGTTTGTCTCTCTTCGGTATGTGGAATTTGTCTTGGATTGAACTTAGAAATATCTAATGTCATGAAATATGAGAACAAGTGGTTGTAAAAGTCAGATGTCAAAGTTTCTGCTAAGTCGTCAAAATATTCTGTATCTTGCATATGAGAATCTGACGTTCTGACAACTACATATCTTCTGTCAGAACTTTCTAACTTCATCGGAACAATTGTTTGAAACCATAATGAAGTTTGCAACATTTTCACAAACTCTTTGGTCTTTATATTTCTTTCAACAACTCCAACTTTGTCTGTTATAAGACTCTTCAAAGCATCTGAGTTTAAAACTTTTGTTGTATCTATACTTTGAAGTTCGTTACATACTATAAGTTTCATATTCTCTATTGAAGAGTTAAATTTACCGCAGATGTTTTCTAAGTTTGTCATATTCGGGTTCGAATAGCCCTCTAACAGTTTGCATAAGATATCTGTAAAGAAAGTGTTCTTACCTGTTCCTTGTTTTCCAATTATAATGAGAGCAGTTTCATTTTTAGCACTTGGATGTTGTAAGATGTTTGCAAACCAACATAAGATATACTCATAACTTTTCGTTTCCATTGCATATAATTTCTTTGACATGGTCTAACCAAGCTTCTATAACATTTTCTTTCCATTCTACTTGTTTATTTATAGTGAAGAAGAATAGAAGTTTGGAGAAGGTGTATAGAACTTTATACCACGAACTGAAAAATCTTCTAACTTTGACAATAAGATATCCCAAGCATCTAACATCTTCATTCCAACTTGTACGACTTTTATTTTCTTAAGTTTCTGTCTACATTCTTGTTCTGAAACTATTGTCGCTCTTGGTTTGTTAAAGACAACATCCCATTCTTTCATGACATAACATTCTGGGGCAGAGTCGACATAAATGACTAAACGTTTCAAATTCTCGACTGCTTTGTTATAGTCTCTAAATGGACACATATTTCTGAATGCTTGGAAGTCATAAAAATCTGAAACATCTATTCTGTACATTTTTATAAAAATAAAAAAAATATTTTTTTATTCTTGACTTTGTTGTTTTTCCATTTGTTGCATTTGTTGTTCTTGAGCTATTTGTTGTTGAAGTTGTTCTTGTAATACAATACTTTCACCAGTTGCATCTTCCAATTCGAAACTTTCTGCCGTCATTGACAAATACATAGGACATAAAAGTTTTACAGGAACAAAGTTTGCGTCAACTAAGGTTAAGTTTATGTTTGCTAAAGTGTTTGAGTTTACTAAAGCTGAAAACTCTGCATTCGAATGAACAATAGGCAAACCAGCAGAGAAAGTGTTGTTTATACGCATGAGTATCTTTTGGTCATAGTAGTTTCTGTCGACATTCGAATAGCACTTTGAACCTAAGTTTGAAACAATATATAAAATAGGTGTGCTTAAAGTCAATGGAATAGACATTCCTTGTATGACACCTTTTCCTGTTATAGGAAACTGTTGGTAGTAAAAACCAGATATAAGTTTTGTATTATAGCTCATATCGTTTATATAAACTCAGTCGGACATCCAAACATAATGAAACCTGCTCTAGTTGCAGCACATGTTACATCCGTCCTTAAAGTATTAAATAAGTCAACAAAACCTGTTGGTGGTATATCTGAGTAAGTATCTTCAAAGAAGTATTTTTTACCATTCACAACAACAAAGTCTTCTGGTGTCAAAAGAGCAAAACAGGCTTTAGTCGTCATTGTGTTTAAGTTAGTTTACAATATCGTCCTTGAGGACTTTGTAAGTTTGTTGTTATAGAATTATATGACTCAGGGTTTTTAGTCGTAATAGTATAAACCACTATGTCTTCTGCCATTTACTTAGCAAAAATTTTAATGAAATGTTGTGGTCGTCAAATATTTTTATGACGTCTGGGAAACTATATTTTAAGTTCAACGTTTCACCTCCTTTCATAACGTATATCTTGTCAATGACATTATATGAAACACCACAGCAAGCAATGTCGGGTTCTATTTCTTTGATGTTTATATCGTCTGCCTCTGTCAAAAGTTTCAATAGTTCTTTCAAAACTTCATGAGGTGCAATGACATATGAGTTCACTTTTACAGGGTTGTGTTCGACCAAGTTTAACATTATACCTAAAGCTTGACAAATCTTCTCCTGAGTTTGAAGTTTGTCTTTAAGTTGTTGGTAGTCGTTTCGAATATCTGCAACAGAACTTAAGTCTCTGCTAACTTCAGGTATGTTGGTTGTTCTTTTACAGGAACTATTGTTATACCATCTTCGTCTTCGTATGGTTTCCCCACTTCAACATCTCTTCTTTGACATTGACAACAACACTTTGACTGTTTGTTTGAGTTGGTGAATTTAACTTCACATCTGCCACCGCCATTAAACCTTTTGAAACACTTACGCTTCTATTTTTCGGAAATGACATTTTACTTAGAATAAAAAGATGGACGTATTTGAGTATCTCTTCGAATTGAAGCAGAACAAAGTTTACACACACAAACAATACAATACATTGACAGAATAGTTCTTTATACAAACAATGGAAAATGTTATAGAATAGCAGTCTTTGCTGAACCAAAATATTTTCATAAAGCAAAGAAAGTTGGTATAACGAAATGGTGAAAGTTCTTGAGCAGACAAAAATATAACAACAAAACTGACCGATATTTCTAAAGGTAAGTTTATAATACAATTTTATGTCAAAACTGGCGTACTGTCAATATTTGACGGAGAGAAGTCAGTTCAAGAACAACTTACTGACCTGCTGCCAAAATCTGCTCGATGGAAGCTGTCGTTATGCCAATCTGAGGAGCCCCAGCAGGTTTCATCGAACGAATCTTCAAAAGAGCATCTTCCGTGAAAAGTGCTATTGGTTTTGTAAACTTCTTTGCTTTCATTCATCTGGACCGTCTCTGTCACCAGTATATTGTATTTGTACAGTACCAACAGTTGAAATACCACCCATAAAGTCTTCTGAGTCAGCAAATGGAATGCCAAGCCAAAAGTTTGAACGGTCTCCATTTGTATATTGAGTTTTTTGACCTCCTGTATGAGTCCATACTTTCACATATGGCATAATAGAACTTTGCATTTCAGGGTTAATGGTTGTTGTGAAGTTGTTGTTAAAGTTCATAGCATCTAATGTCAAGTTGTATGACCTCATATCCTCAACTGTAGAATATTCTTCTCTTGGATAATATTTGCCATCTATGTTTATATGTATTTAATACCAGGGTTGTAGAACAAGAATAGTCATTTATAGTTCGTCTGAACAGTACAAACATAGTATCTGCATGTTTCATTGCAGTTGTTAAAGCAATATCTGTTCTTGCACCTGGGTCAGCACTTTGGTTTCCAACTTCACCTGCAAAGTCTTTGACAGATATTTGGTGTATAGGGAACATAAGTGGAACTGCAATATATTTGGCAGCTAAAGCATTTGAAATATCTGGGTCCAACATATAGACTGCAAGTCTGCTTTCTATTCTCTTGCATTCAAATTTTCGCATGTGAACTTAACTGGGTCCCAAGCAGTTCCAGCAGCATTGAAATAATAGTTTACTTCAGTGTTGAGGTTTGAGAAACCAAAGTCTAAGTCAACTTTGTCTTTGCAAAATTCGGCGAATGACGTTTATTTGCTCCCTTTACGTCTGTAAGAGTGAATGGGTCTTGTGTTGGTGCAATGACTAAGTTATTTTTGCTTGGAGTAAGTTCGATAGAAATTTTTCCTGCCCAGTTTGGCAAGTATCTTAAAAACCTGAAGATGAGGAAAGATGACAAAGGAACTCTAAGTTTCAGTTTTACTTTGGTACAGCATTTCCATCTGAACCAGAAAGGTTAACATAAACTCCTGGAACGTTAGGGTCAAGTCTTCTTATTTTCTCAATAGTTGCATACTGGTCTGTTTGTTCTCTAGCTTGTGGTTGTACTGAGTTTCTCAAAGCGAACCATTCATAGTTTGCCCATGTTACTGTTTGAACTAAGTCAGAGTTAGAATATATCTTATATCCCATGAAAACTTCTGGAGCATATTGGTATCCGACATAGAAAATTCCATTGCAACCTTTCTTGTCAGACAACTTGGCAGAAGGTTTTATTTCAATGTCTTGTTCCACGTATAAGAAAGAGTTGTCAATAGAAATTATATGAAACCTGTCGCAAGCAATATCTACTGTTGTTGAAGAACCTTCTCCAAACTCACCTACGTTTCCATAAGAAACAGCAGTTGTATATTCGTAAGTTCCAGGAACTATTTCTGACCTTCTAATGGCATTGTCGCATTCGTTATACCATTCGGAAACATTTCCATTCATAGCATCCAAAACTGTTGGCGTTATATTCTGAGCGGCGTACATTTCATATGAGTAAAAATATAGAATAGTTGGATTTATATGTCATAATAGAACCCACGTGGACCAAGCTTTACTTTCTTCCTGACTGAGTTTTTAACTCTTCTTTTTCCTTCATTGCCCTCTGCTTGAAGTTGTTGCATCTTTGCATTATGTTCATCTAGTATGTTGCAAATTTCCCATGTCCTTTTTGCCTTTTGGCTCTGGTCGCCCATCTCAGGTAACCTATATCCTAGAAAGAGTTTGTCATAGTCTGTATTTGAGTCTTCGCGTATTGTTTGCATGACTCTTTCCTGAGTTTCTGGTTCAAGCTCTTCAAACAGTGCCTGTCCATATGGAATATGCTCGTTTCCAAATATATGTTTTTGTAGCCATTCTGGTTTTCTTTCCATGTTACCAACATATCTTTTGTGAATGGGAAAGCTTTTACCCAATCTTTCAGTCTTGCGTCGTTTATTTCTGTAGTTGGTTTTATTTTGTCAAGGAACATGTTTTTCAATACTAACATTTCATTTGGTACTGTCCATTTGAGTTTTCTTAAATATTCATCCCTTCTCGGTTCATTGTCTGCAAAGTAAGTTTTTATGACATTTTGTAAACTTTCGTTTGCAAGGTCATGTACAATAGGTTCTCTTCCTTCTCTATCCCTAACTTTCTTTCTAAACTCTTCACCAAATATACCATCTTATGGTTCTGTGTAGTTCTTTGAGATAAATGTTCTAGAACGTCAGGTGTTATATTTCCATCAGCCATGTTCATTTCATACTGGTCCAAAATATCTGCATGTTTCATATCTTTCAATGGCATTAAAGCCGCGCTGAAAATACCAGCTATATCTGGTTCACCATTGACTTCCATTGCGTCTACAACTTCTTGGAATTGTGGTTGTAAGTTTATGAACCACCTATCTGGATTAGCTTTATGACCCCATCTCATTGTAGTTCCATCGTCTGCAGAAACAAAAGTAGGTTTGTTTCCATCTTGGTTAGGTTCTGAATGAACTTTAAACAATGTTTCATTTCTATATGTTTTCTTGAAATTTAACCTTTTATTTCACCGAGTTCATCCGAAGATTGAACGTTAAATGCTCGTAAGTAAAAAGGGTTGTTGTATTTGTGTACATTTTTTTCAGTTCTTCCATTCTATGCTGAATATTTTCATCTGATGTTGGAGTCTTTTGTATGTCGGCAAACATTTTTCGATATTCTTCTACTATGTCAGCCGAATTTTTTTTAGACTCTTGGAAATATTCCATATTCTCCGCATACTCTTGTTGAGGGTCAAGATTTTTCGGCTGTTCCAAATCTTCATCTAGTTCTGTGAAGTTAGTTTCCAAAGGAGGACTTGTTCGTTTCCTTCAGGCTCTTCTAGCTGTTGTTGCTGAACTATTTCTTCCATGTCTGGTTGTATCTGAACTTCTTCCTGTGGAGTTTCTTGTACCTCATCTGCTGGCATTTCATATATTCCGAGACCGTTTTCAACAATTTCCCTATCTACGTCATCCGCATTCATAAGCTTTTGTTCTTTCGTTCCGTCTCTATTTTTTACGCGTTTCATGACGAAAGTTGAATTGTCATTTAGCTCTGACATCAAATATCTCGGAGTAAATTCATCCATGTCATTTGGATGATATGCTATTAAATCATATCCCTTAGCGAGCTTGTATTTTCCAGGTTTGAGATTATATCCGTTTTGGTGCTGAGCCATAAAGCTAAATAGGTTCGGGTCAGTATTTCCATCCTTGAACTTTCCAATAGCTTCTTTATATCTGTCACTAAAGTCAACAGTATCTGGGAAACCACACTCTTCTTTAAGCATTTTTAAGAATTCTTGGTTTCCTTGTTCTCTACTTCTTTTATGTCCTTGCTCTGTTTGTGGTTGTTGTTGTGCAGGGTTTTGAACTGTTGGTTGCTGTGCTGGTTGTTGTGTTGGTTGTTGTGCTGTTGTTGGTGCATGCCTGTGTCTGTGTCCATGTGACGATGTAAATGTTTAGGTAGTCCTGGTGCAGGTGCTTCTCTTGGAGGGTTTGGTGGTATATAAGTTCCACCAGCTGGCACATATGTTCCATCTGCAGCATAATGTCCTACCTGACTTTTCGTTTTTAAGAAAGCATTTACTAGGTCTGTTTTGGTCTGTTGTAACTCTTTTTCTTGACTTTTCACAACAGTTGCTCTAACGGCGTCATAGGCACTTTGAACTGCCTGTCTCGTTGCTGCATCTGTTATTTTCGTCATATTTTGTGCTACTTCTCTTAACTCTTTGTCGAAACCTTCAGACTTCAGTTTCTTTCCAGATGAGAAGTCGTTCACTTGTTTCACCTTACTATGAAGAGCTTCGAAAGCGTTCTTAAAGTCAGCATTTGTTAAAGCTTCATTTGAACTGTCTTCATCCGCTTGTATTTTTGTCCTTATTGACCCTATGAGTTGGGCTGCTTTAGCGTTGGCTTGGGCATCTAACCAGTCATTGTTAGCTTTTATATATTCTGCGCTTTTCATTGCCTTTTGCATAGCTGCGTCGTTATTTTTACTTTCTTGTGCTAAGTTTTCATACTGTACGGTTTGGTTTTGCAACTGTAAAAGTTTTTCTGCCTTTACATTTGCTTCAACTTCTTTTTTATACTCATCGCTATCCATATATGTCTTCAGGGCTTTTTGTTTTATCTCTTCATCTTTCAGTATTTTATATTGAGTAGTATGGTTTTTCAAATTTATGACATCTTGTTCCATTTTTGCTACTTCTGCTGCTTTTTCTGACACTTTTTTCGCATATTCCTCTGTACTTAGTTCTTTCAGTTGTTCTTCTTTCTTCTTTTTCTCTACGTTTAACTCATTGAGTTTCTTTGTGTGTCTGTCATATTCTAGTTTCTTTTCGTTTTCACTTATTTGCTTCTGTATGTCTATGTTTGACTTTTTGACATCTGTTATTTGATTTTTGAGTGAACTCAAATTCATTTGACTTTGAGGGTTATAAGCTGTTCCGTCTGCAGCTCCACCATAGCCTGCCATTTTCGCTAAAAGTGCCGCTCTTAAACCTCCACTCTGTGCACCAACAACTCGGTTTAAAAGCATAGGATTGCTTGACATTTGTTGCAACATAGTGGGGTCATTCAGCATTTGTTGTTGCAACTGTTGTTGTGGTGTCAGTTTTACTATTGGATGTTTCAATGCTCTCTTCCTCTTACGTATATTCTTACGTAGCTTACGTGGCATTTTAAGTGAAGTTAAAAAGCGGTTTTTGACAGATGTTTATATGACACTTTTTGTTCAGCACAAAAAACTACTCGGTCAACGGCGATGACTCTCAAAAACCGTTGTGCAAAAAGTTTTACCGTTGGACAAAAAAGCATATATAGAAAACAAAAAACGTTTATAGTTCATTCAATATTTGAGATGGAACGGTTTTCCAACGGTAACTATTAAATAAAATAAAAAAATAGAGGGGGTTACCGTTGACGAAAACGGTTCATCTCAAACTTTTCTATGAGTGGTCCGAAAAAAACAGTTTATTTTTGTCTAATGGGAAGGAAGAAAAAGTGTCGCAAACAATTCGTCGACTACCTCGGCAGTTAAAGTTCCTACAACTTATGTCTCACCATTCTCAAAACCCTTACAACCTCCTATAATACCAAAGCAACTTCCTCATACAATTGCAAACAATTCGTCGACTACCTCTGCAGTTAAAGTTCCTACAACTTATGTCTCACCATTCTCAAAACCCTTACAACCTCCTATAATACCAAAGCAACTTCCTCATACAATTGCAAACAATTCGTCGACTACCTCTGCAGTTAAAGTTCCTACAACTTATGTCTCACCATTCTCAAAACCCTTACAACCTCCTATAATACCAAAGCAACTTCCTCATACAATTGCAAACAAATTGTCCAACAATTCAAGACATTCTACTCAAGAAAATACCATACAAACAAACGAAACAACAGATACAGTTGTACCAGACACAACAGGACAAGTTTTACAGTCTTCTCCAATTGCAAACCAATTGTCCAACAATTCAAGACAATCTACTCAAGAAAATACCATACAAACAAACGAAACAACAGATACAGTTGTACCAGACACAACAGGACAAGTTTTACAGTCTTCTCCAATTGCAAACCAATTGTCCAACAATTCAAGACAATCTACTCAAGAAAATACCATACAAACAAACGAAACAACAGAGGAACAACCAAGCGCGTCATCGATGACGACAAGGTCCCAGATGAGATACCTCGCGTTCGCGAAGCAATTTCAATCAGGAGATACAGAAAATACAGAAGAAAACACTACCATACCTGAACGTGTTCGCAGGCAATATGCTAAAAAAAGACTTCAACTCCTTGAAAAACTCAAAAACCAATGGGGAATTCAAGACGACACCGATTATTCGGAAGTGTTTCAGTCTGTTATGGATAGTTTGCAACCAGTTGAAAATGAAGTTAAAGACCCAGGTGTTCTCGTGGACTTGTTTGTTCAATACTTGCCTGTTACAGCAAACCTAATTGCACTACAAGCCATCGACCAATTTATTAGACTTTTCCCCAAAAATATGCAAACTTATTTGCGAAATGTGAAAATTGCTGAGTATGTCAGCATATATCCCAATACCTACAACTATCTCGAAGAATTGGATGAGTATGGGCAAAGGTCCTTTTACGTATACTTTTTTACCAAACCAGGACAGTCAAAACGGTTATATTGTATACAACCTTTACCAGAATTTCAAGACAATTTCCATGTCATATCCACTATAGCGTTAGATACACCAGAAAGAGTTCCATACGGTGGCAAAGTTAGTATTTCAAGCTTCCCGAAAGCTACCAAAGGACATCCTATAAAATTGGCAGAATTCACTAATTCAAATTGCCAATTCAAACAGGATGTTGAGTTTGTATTCTTACACGATACCACATTCATAATACAGACACCTCCAGATGGACTCTACAAAGTATTTATAGCTGGACACGTAGCACCAGATGACGAAGAAGAAGTCGAAGAAATCCTCACCTCAGAGAGCGAAGAAGAAGAAAATTTCCAAGACATTCAAGATTCAGAATATACCGAATAAAAACTTCATTTATACTAAACATCTTCAGGGCTAGAAGGCACGAAGTGCCTGGAAGCCCCAATACCTTTTTTTTTTTTTTTTTTTTTTTTTTTTTTTAAAAAAATTTTATAAAAAAAAAAAAAAAAAAAAAAAAAAAAAAAAAAAAAGGTAGTGGGGCTTCCAGGCACTTCGTGCCTTCTAGCCCTGAGGATGAATGAGTATAATGAAGTTTTTTTTTCTTGGGGGATGGCTTCCAGGCACTTCGTGCCTTCTAGCCCCCGAAGATGTTTAGTATAAATGAAGTTTATATTCGGAGGGCTTCCAGGCACTTCGTGCCTTCTAGCCCTAAGAATTTTTCCCAAGACCCAAGAGGAGGACCGAACCCCAGCCGACCAGCCGTTGACTTTTTTGTCAAGACTTCATCGTAAATGTTTTGTCAAGACTTCTTCGTAAATGTTTTGTCAAACATGAACGTAAATGTTTTGTCAAGACTTCTTCGTAAATGTTTTGTCAAGACTTCTTCGTAAATGTTTTGTCAAGACTTCTTCGTAAATGTTTTGTCATGATTTCATCGTAATGAGCGTAAATGACCAAAAAATAATGTTTATGTTAGAATGTTAGATCTAACACCTTTTCTAACATGTTTTCTAACATCGTAGAAAACTCATGAATTTCATCGTATATGTTTTGTCAAGACTTCTTCGTAAATGTTTTGTCAAGACTTCTTCGTAAATGTTTTGTCAAGACTTCTTCGTAAATGTTTTGTCAAGACTTCTTCGTAAATGTTTTGTCAAGACTTCTTCGTAATGAGCGTAAATGACCCAAATATAATTTAGGTGAAGAGGTGAGATGTCACCTCTTTTCTCACCTGTTTTCTCACCTCATGAATTTTCATGATTTCTTCGTAAATGTTTTGTCGAAACTTCTTCATCGTAAATGTTTTTAACTTCACTTAAAATGCCACGTAAGCTACGTAAGAATATACGTAAGAGGAAGGGAGCATTGAAACATCCAATAGTAAAACTAACACCACAACAACAGTTGCAACAACAAATTATGAATGACCCCACTATGTTGCAACAAATGTCAAGCAACCCTATGCTTTTAAACCGAGTTATTGGTGCACAGAGTGGAGGTTTAAGAGCGGCACTTTTAGCGAAAATGGCAGGCTATGGTGGAGCTGCAGACGGAACAGCTTATAACCCTCAAAGTCAAATGAATTTGAGTTCACTCAAAAATCAAATAACAGATGTCAAAAAGTCAAACATAGACATACAGAAGCAAATAAGTGAAAACGAAAAGAAACTAGAATATGACAGACACACAAAGAAACTCAATGAGTTAAACGTAGAGAAAAAGAAGAAAGAAGAACAACTGAAAGAACTAAGTACAGAGGAATATGCAAAAAAAGTGTCAGAAAAAAGCAGCAGAAGTAGCAAAAATGGAACAAGATGTCATAAATTTGAAAAACCATACTACTCAATATAAAATACTGAAAGATGAAGAGATAAAACAAAAAGCCCTGAAGACATATATGGATAGCGATGAGTATAAAAAAGAAGTTGAAGCAAATGTAAAGGCAGAAAAACTTTTACAGTTGCAAAACCAAACCGTACAGTATGAAAACTTAGCACAAGAAAGTAAAAATAACGACGCAGCCATGCAAAAGGCAATGAAAAGCGCAGAATATATAAAAGCTAATAATGACTGGTTAGATGCCCAAGCCAACGCTAAAGCAGCCCAACTCATAGGGTCAATAAGGACAAAATACAAGCGGATGAAGATAGTTCAAATGAAGCTTTAACAAATGCTGACTTTAAGAACGCTTTCGAAGCTCTTCATAGTAAGGTGAAACAAGTGAACGACTTCTCATCTGGAAAGAAACTGAAGTCTGAAGGTTTCGACAAAGAGTTAAAAGAAGTAGCACAAAATATGACGAAAATAACAGATGCAGCAACGAGACAGGCAGTTCAAAGTGCCTATGACGCCGTTAGAGCAACTGTTGTGAAAAGTCAAGAAAAAGAGTTACAACAGACCAAAACAGACCTAGTAAATGCTTTCTTAAGAACGAAAAGTCAGGTAGGACATTATGCTGCAGATGGAACATATGTGCCAGCTGGTGGAACTTATATACCACCAAACCCTCCAAGAGAAGCACCTGCACCAGGACTACCTAAAACATTTACATCGTCACATGGACACAGACACAGGCATGCACCACAACAACAACCAAAACCAACACAACAACCAACACAACAACCAGCACAACAACCAACACAACAACCAGCACAGCAACCAACAGTTCAAAACCCTGCACAACAACAACCACAAACAGAGCAAGGACATAAAAGAAGTAGAGAACAAGGAAACCAAGAATTCTTAAAAATGCTTAAAGAAGAGTGTGGTTTCCCAGATACTGTTGACTTTAGTGACAGATATAAAGAAGCTATTGGAAAGTTCAAGGATGGAAATACTGACCCGAACCTATTTAGCTTTATGGCTCAGCACCAAAACGGATATAATCTCAAACCTGGAAAATACAAGCTCGCTAAGGGATATGATTTAATAGCATATCATCCAAATGACATGGATGAATTTACTCCGAGATATTTGATGTCAGAGCTAAATGACAATTCAACTTTCGTCATGAAACGCGTAAAAAATAGAGACGGAACGAAAGAACAAAAGCTTATGAATGCGGATGACGTAGATAGGGAAATTGTTGAAAACGGTCTCGGAATATATGAAATGCCAGCAGATGAGGTACAAGAAACTCCACAGGAAGAAGTTCAGATACAACCAGACATGGAAGAAATAGTTCAGCAACAACAGCTAGAAGAGCCTGAAGGAAACGAACAAGTCCCTCCTTTGGAAACTAACTTCACAGAACTAGATGAAGATTTGGAACAGCCGAAAAATCTTGACCCTCAACAAGAGTATGCGGAGAATATGGAATATTTCCAAGAGTCTAAAAAAAATTCGGCTGACATAGTAGAAGAATATCGAAAAATGTTTGCCGACATACAAAAGACTCCAGCACCAGATGAAAATATTCAGCATAGAATGGAAGTACTGAAAGAAAATGTACACAAATACAACAACCCTTTTTACTTACGAGCATTTAACGTTCAATCTTCGGATGAACTCGGTGAAAATAAAAGGTTAAATTTCAAGAAAACATATAGAAATGAAACATTGTTTAAAGTTCATTCAGAACCTAACCAAGATGGAAACAAACCTACTTTTGTTTCTGCAGACGATGGAACTACAATGAGATGGGGTCATAAAGCTAATCCGGATAGGTGGTTCATAAACTTACAACCACAATTCCAAGAAGTTGTAGACGCAATGGAAGTCAATGGTGAACGAGATATAGCTGGTATTTTAAGCGCGGCTTTAATGCCATTGAAAGATATGAAACATGCAGATATTTTGGACCAGTATGAAATGAACATGGCTGATGGAAATATAACACCTGACGTTCTAGAACATTTATCTCAAAGAACTACACAGAACCATAGAGATGGTATATTTGGTGAAGAGTTTAGAAAGAAAGTTAGGGAGGGAGAAGGAAGAGAACCTATTGTACATGACCTTGCAAACGAAAGTTTACAAAATGTCATAAAAACTTACTTTGCAGGCGATGAATCGAGAAGGGATGAATATTTAAGAAAACTCAAATGGACAGTACCAGATGAAATGTTAGTATTGAAAAACATGTTCCTTGACAAAATAAAACCAACTACAGAAATAAACGACGCAAGACTGAAAGATTGGTAAAGCTTTCCCATTCACAAAAGATATAGTTTGGTAACATGGAAAGAAAACCAGAATGGCTACAAAAAACATATATTTGGAAACGAGCTTATTCCATATGGACAGGCACTGTTTTGAAGAGCTTGAACCGGAAACTCAGGAAAGAGTCATGCAAACAATACGCGAAGACTCAAATACAGACTATGACAAACTCTTTCTAGGATATAGGTTACCTGAGATGGGCGACCAGAGCCAAAAGGCAAAAAGGACATGGGAAATTGCAACATACTAGATGAACATAATGCAAAGATGCAACAACTTCAAGCAGAGGGCAATGAAGGAAAAAGAAGAGTTAAAAACTCAGTCAGGAAGAAAGTAAAGCTTGGTCCACGTGGGTTCTATTATGACATATAATCCAACTATTCTATATTTTACTCATATGAAATGTACGCCGCTCAGAATATTACGCCAACAGTTTTGGATGCATGAACGGAAATGTTTCGAATGGTATAACGAATGCGACAATGCCATTAGAAGGTCAGAAATAGTTCCTGGAACTTACGAATATACAACTGCTGTTTCTTATGGAAACGTAGGTGAGTTTGGAGAAGGTTCTTCAACAACAGTAGATATGCATGCGGACAGGTTTCATATAATTTCTATTGACAACTCTTTCTTATACGTGAACAAGACATTGAAATAAAACCTTCTGCCAAGTTCTGACAAGAAAGGTTGCAATGGAATTTTCTATGTCGGATACCAATATGCTCCAGAAGTTTTCATGGGATATAAGATATATTCTAACTCTGACTTAGTTCAAACAGTAACATGGGCAAAACTATGAATGGTTCGCTTTGAGAAACTCAGTACAACCACAAGCTAGAGAACAAACAGACCAGTATGCAAACTATTGAGAAAATAAGAAGACTTGACCCTAACGTTCCAGGAGTTTATGTTGACCTTTCTGGACAAACTGCAGCAGCAGTAACCAAAAGTAAAATTGAAACTTAGAGTTCCTTTGTCATCTTTCCTCATCTTCAGGTTTTAAGATACTTGCCAAACTGGGCAGGAAAAATTTCTATCGAACTTACTCCAAGCAAAAATAACTTAGTCATTGCACCAACACAAGACCCATTCACTCTTACAGAAGTAGTGGGAACAAATAAAATGTCATTCGCCGACTTTTGCAAAAACAAAGTTGACTTAGACTTTGGTTTCTCAAACCTCAACACTGAAGTAAACTATTATTTCAATGCTGCTGCGAGATGCTTGGGACCCAGTTAAGTTCACATGCGAAAAATTTGAATGCAAGAGAATAGAAAGCAGACTTGCAGTCTATATGTTGGACCCAGATATTTCAAATGCTTTAGCTGCCAAATAATTGCAGTTCCACTTATGTTCCCTATACACCAAATATCTGTCAAAGACTTTGCAGGTGAAGTTGGAAACCAAAGTGCTGACCCAGGTGCAAGAACAGATATTGCCTTAACAACTGCAATGAAACATGCAGATACTATGTTTGTACTGTTCAGACGAACTATAAATGACTATCTTGCTTCTACAACCCTGGTATTAAATATCATATAAACATAGATGGCAAATATTATCCAAGAGAAGAATATTCTACAGTTGAGGATATGAGGTCATACAACTTGACATTAGATGCTATGAACTTTAACAACAACTTCACAACAACCATTAACCCTGAAATGCAAAGTTCTATTATGCCATATGTGAAAGTATGGACTCATACAGGAGGTCAAAAAACTCAATATACAAATGGAGACCGTTCAAACTTTTGGCTTGGCATTCCATTTGCTGACTCAGAAGACTTTATGGGTGGTATTTCAACTGTTGGTACTGTACAAATACAATATACTGGTGACAGAGACGGTCCAGATGAATTGAGAGCAAAGAAGTTTACAAAACCAATAGCACTTTTCACGGAAGATGCTCTTTTGAAGATTCGTTCGATGAAACCTGCTGGGGCTCCTCAGATTGGCATAACGACAGCTTCCATCGAGCAGATTTTGGCAGCAGGTCAGTAAGTTGTTCTTGAACTGACTTCTCTCCGTCAAATATTGACAGTACGCCAGTTTTGACATAATATTGTATTATAAACTTTCCTTTAGAAATATCTGTAAGTTTTGAAGTTATATTTTTGTCTGCTTCAAGAACTTTCACCATTTCAGTTATACCAACTCTCTCTGCTTTATGAAAATATTTAGGTTCAGCAAAGACTGCTATTCTATAACATTTTCCATTGTTTGTGTAAAGAACTACTCTGTCAATGAACTTGTATTGTTTGTGTGTGTAAACTTTGTTCTGCTTCAATTCGAAGAGATACTCAAATACGTCCATCTTTTTATTCTCAGTAAAATGTCATTTCCGAAAAATAGAAGCGTAAGTGTTTCAAAAGGTTTAATGGCGGTGGCAGATGTGAAGTTAAATTCACCAACTCAAACAAACAGTCAAAGTGTTGTTGTCAATGTCAAAGAAAGAGATGTTGAAGTGGGGAAACCATACGAAGACCAAGATGGTATAACAATAGTTCCTGTAAAAGAACAACCAACATATCCTGAAGTTAGCAGAGACTTAAGTTCTGTTGCAGATATTCGAAACGACTACCAACAACTGAAAAACAAACTTCAAACTCAGGAGAAGATTTGTCAAGCTTTAGGTATAATGTTAAACTTGGTTGAGCACAACCCTGTAAAAGTGAACTCATATGTCATTGCACCTCATGAAGTCTTGAAAGAACTATTGAAACTTTTGACAGAGGCAGACGATATAAACATCAAAGAAATAGAACCCGACATTAGTTGCTGTGGTGTTTCATATAATGTCATTGACAAGATATACGTTATGAAAGGAGGTGAAACGTTGAACTTAAAGTATAGTTTCCCAGACGTCATAAAAATATTTGACGACCACAACATTTCATTAAAATTTACTTGCTAAGTAAATGGCAGAAGACATAGTGGTTTATACTATTACGACTAAAAACCCTGAGTCATATAATTCTATAACAACAAACTTACAAAGTCCTCAAGGACGATATTGTAAACTGACCTTAAACACGATGACGACTAAAGCCTGTTTTGCTCTTTTGACACCAGAAGATTTTATTGTTGTGAATGGTAAAAAATACTTCTTTGAAGATACTTACTCAGATATACCACCAACAGGTTTTGTTGACTTATTTAATACTTTAAGGACGGATGTAACATGTGCTGCAACTAGAGCAGGTTTCATTATGTTTGGATGTCCGACTGAGTTTAGTATAAACGATATGAGCTATAATACAAAACTTATATCTGGTTTTTACTACCAACAGTTTCCTATAACAGGAAAAGGTGTCATACAAGGTCTATCTATTCCATTGACTTTAAGTACACCTATTTTATATATTGTTTCAAACTTAGGTTCAAAGTGCTATTCGAATGTCGACAGAAACTACTATGACCAAAAGATACTCATGCGTATAAACAACACTTTCTCTGCTGGTTTGCCTATTGTTCATTCGAATGCAGAGTTTTCAGCTTTAGTAAACTCAAACACTTTAGCAAACATAAACTTAACCTTAGTTGACGCAAACTTTGTTCCTGTAAAACTTTTATGTCCTATGTATTTGTCAATGACGGCAGAAAGTTTCGAATTGGAAGATGCAACTGGTGAAAGTATTGTACTACAAGAACAACTTCAACAACAAATAGCTCAAGAACAACAAATGCAACAAATGCAACAACAAAGTCAAGAATAAAAAAAATATTTTTTTTATTTTTATAAAAATGTACAGAATAGACGTTTCAGATTTTTATGACTTCCAAGCATTCAGAAATATGTGTCCATTTAGAGACTATAACAAAGCAGTCGAGAATTTGAAACGTTTAGTCATTTATGTTGACTCTGCCCCAGAATGTTATGTCATGAAAGAATGGGATGTTGTCTTTAACAAACCAAGAGCAACAATAGTTTCAGAACAAGAATGTAGACAGAAACTTAAGAAAATAAAAGTTGTACAAGTTGGTATGAAGATGTTAGATGCTTGGGATATCTTATTGTCAAAGTTAGAAGATTTTTCAGTTCGAGGTATAAAGTTCTATACACCTTCTCCAAACTTCTATTCTATCTTCACTGGATATAAATACGAACAAGTAGAATGGAAAGAAAATGTTATAGAAGCTTGGTTAGACCATGTCAAAGAAATTATATGCAATGGAAACGAAAGAGTCTATGAGTATATCTTATGTTGGTTTGCAAACATCTTACAACATCCAAGTGCTAAAAATGAAACTGCTCTCATTATAATTGGAAAACAAGGAACTGGTAAGAACACTTTCTTTACAGATATCTTATGCAAACTGTTAGAAGGTTATTCGAACCCGAATATGACAAACTTAGAAAACATCTGCGGTAAATTTAACTCTTCAATAGAGAATATGAAACTTATAGTATGTAACGAACTTCAAAGTATAGATACAACAAAGGTTTTAAACTCAGATGCTTTGAAGAGTCTTATAACAGACAAAGTTGGAGTTGTTGAAAGAAAATATAAAGACCAAAGAGTTTGTGAAAATGTTGCAAATTTCATCATGGTTTCAAACAATGTTGTTCCGATGAAGTTAGAAAGTTCTGACAGAAGATATGTAGTTGTCAGAACGTCAGATTCTCATATGCAAGATACAGAATATTTTGACGACTTAGCAGAAACTTTGACACCTAACTTTTACAACCACTTGTTCTCATATTTCATGACATTAGATATTTCAAAGTTCAATCCAAGACAAATTCCACATACCGAAGAAAGACAAACATTGTTAGAAGCAAACAAGAGTGTATATGAACTGTTCATAGATGAGACTAACTTTGAGTGTTTAGATGAAAGGTCATTGTACGATTCATATAAACAGTATTGTCAAGAGTATGGTTATATGGCAGCTTCTAAACGTACATTCTTGGCAAATGTCAAAAATCTTTTAGATGTTCAGAACGGCGTATATACAAAGAAAAATTTTTCTGAGTAAATTTAAAAAAAACATTTTTTTATCCGATAGAAAAGATGACGAAATATATTTCAGTAAACAAATATATGTCAGGACTTAAAGAAGAACTAGACCCATTCGCTTATTTGAATGTTTACTTCTACCATTTTGAAAAGTCTACATTTGACAAAGTTTGGAACATCGAACCGGTTAAGTTTGCTATTGTGACTAAAAATGGTGCGAAATTTGAAGACTTAGACATAGAAGGTTTGTTAGCAGTCAAAGAAAATTTTGACAGAAGGTTCTCAAACCTTAAAGAAGGCAAAGCATACAAACTTGTTATACCTTATGAACCAAAGAAAGCAGACGACTATGAATATTATGAGTCTAAGATAGTTGAAGTTCAAGGTAAATTAGGTAAAAAGATTTTAGAGTCTAAACCAGTGTTTGCTCCTAAAGAGGAAGAGAACATTGACATTGACCCAGAAATGTTCTAAAAATAAAATTTTATTTTTACATGTCAAATTTCTTTTTCTCTGGAACTGGTTCAGGTTCTTTCTTCTCTTCTACTTTCTTCTCTTCTTCTACTTTCTTCTTCTTTTCTCTCTTCTTCTTCTTTTCTGGTGGAGTTATGTCAAATTTCTCAGAACCATATTTATGTAAAAGTTCTTTGTCCTTTAATAGCTCTTCTATTCTGTTTTCTATTTCATCTTCAAGAACAGCGCATGTGTCTTCTTTGCATTCTAAGAACTTTTGTTGGACTTCATCTTTCCAATCGGCGTCATCTCTGTCAACAAGTCTGTCATTGACAAACTTAAAGACTTCTCTGCTTAATGTTTTATGGTTCTTGTCATATTCCCAGAAACAGAACTTTAGAACAAATTCACCTTTCTTGTTTACACTATGTAAGATTTTATGGTCGACAGATGTTTTGCTGTCGAAAAGCTTGTCTCGAATATAGATAGCGAAATCGCTAGACATTTTCTAAAAGATAAAAATTTTAATTTTTCTAAAAATATGTTAGAAAAAAAGTTTGCTGACATTGACAAGAAATTTGAGAATGTTTTGAAGAAGAACAAGAGAAAGTTAGAAAATGCTCAGATAAAACCTATACATGACAAGTTCTTATTTGCTCAGAATGGTATAACAGGTCTAATTGCACCACCTGGGTCGGGTAAGACTTTCACTTATCTTAAAATGGCTGCACAACAACAAGAACTAGATGAGAAGAACCCATTTTATGAGTTAGTTGTCATTTGTAGTACTTCTGGTCAATTTGACCAAACCGTAAATTCGTTCAAAGATATTATAAAAAAGTCTAAGTTAGTATGTATAAAAGACTCTGAGTTGTTGGATTGGATAAAGAAGTACCAAAGAAGAGTTTTGAAGTACAATGCTATAAATGAGTATATAAATTCTAAGTTTAAAGACCCAAATGAGGAAATGCAGAGAATATTAGAGAAGAAACACTTCAGAAACAAACAGAAAGAGATAGAATACATTTCGAAGAAATTGCAATCTTACGATTGGAAGACTTACCCTCACAGATGTCTTCTTATCTTAGATGACTTTGCTTCTCATCCTTTGTTAAAGAACAGAGAACAAGATATGTGTCGAATTCTTAAGAAGCTCAGACACTTTAACATCTCAGTTGTCATTTGTGTACAGACAGCAAAGAGTTTAAGTAAGGATGTTAAAAGAATACTTACTGACATTATACTTTTCCCTGGATTGTCCGAAGACGATTTCATGGAACTTATGAAAGAGTCCATGGCAGGTAAGTTTGACAGACATGAACTATGGGAGAAGTACAAAGTCATACAAGACCCTCATACTTCTTTCAGAATTCACATCTACGCGAACAAAGTTCAAATTGTAAAAAGTCAAGCTTGAAAAATAAATGGTTCATTTACTCTGCTTGTTTGAAGTTGTCAAAATACTCTGTTATTTTTTCTTTCAGTAGCGGTAAGTCTTCTTTGAATGTAAGAATTGTACAACCTTTAATATCATAGTGTGTTTGAGGTAACGTATCTTGAACTATTTGTTTCACATCTTCATTTGGGGTCATTGAAATCGGTAAGTTTTCGCGATAGAACCAATTTCTGTCAGATTTGTAAATCTTAGCAAGGTCGTAAAAGCTTTTGTTGTTTCTTCTGACTAAATGCAACATAACCATATCTTTATCTTCTTCATTTTCCATCTCTTCAGTATAAATCATATACTTATAGTTCTTTTCCTTTCCTTTTGGTACCGAACGTGGTATTCTTTTCTGAATGCTTTTGTCTTCTTTCATCATATCTTCTCTCTGCTTTGTACAAAGTTCGTCAAGTAGCATAAGTATGTAGATTGCATAACGAGGTGAAGCCCACATTGCTATTGAACTAACTAGGAACTTATGAACATATATACCTTTTAGATGTAATGGTAAGTTTTGTCTGTCTTGGTACATCTTTTTAAGTTCTACATGTTCAAACTCACTGAGGAGTTCATGAGTGCTATTTAATTCAAACCAGTCTTGTGGTTTCTTAGTATCTGGAGCAAAACATGCTGTCAAAATACTTTGCATTTGGTACATGTCGTCTTTGACCGAACGAATGAGACGTAACTGTTTGTTAAACTGAACCCACTCATATTCTTCATTTATAGCTTCATGAACGATAGCAGTTGTTGTGTTCTCTGTTGTTGTCATATCTGTCTTTACATACAAAATAAAAAAATAAATAAAAATAAAACTAACTTTATTTTTTTTAAGTTTGGTCATCCTTCACTGTATGACAAATATACTATATTTTACTTAAAAATATGCAAGCGGCTCATAGCTCAGTGGTATGGGCTACCTCGTTACAGGCGTCGAAGACCTCGGTTCAAATCCCGATTCGCGCAAGTTTTTTCCTTTTATGCAGTGAAATTTCATGTACATAGGTTACTTTGGTGTTAGACCCTAGTGAAGAAAATAGAACGATATAAGTTTACATTTGTAAGGTTACTTTGGTGTTAGACCCTAGTGAAGAAAATAGAACTATATAAGTTTACATTTGTAAGGTTGGACGATAAAATTTACTGACTGACGTCGGACATTGTCTTGAAAAAGTAAAAGACTTGTCTTGAAAAAGTAAAAGACTTGTCTTGAAAAAGTAAAAGACTTGTCTTGAAAAAGTAAAAGACTTGTCTTGAAAAAGTAAAAGACTTGTCTTGAAAAAGTAAAAGACTTGTCTTGAAAAAGTAAAGACTTGTCTTGAAAAAGTAAAAGACTTGTCTTGAAAAAGTAAAAGACTTGTCTTGAAAAAGTACGGGATCGTCTGAAATCAAGACCACTGTTCTCAAATTTGAGAACTTGACACCAAAAAATTTCTTGAAAAAGTCAAAGACTTGTCTTGAAAAAGTAAAAGACTTGTCTTGAAAAAGTAAAAGACTTGTCTTGAAAAAGTAAAAGACTTGTCTTGAAAAAGTAAAAGACTTGTCTTGAAAAAGTAAAAGACTTGTCTTGAAAAAGTAAAAGACTTGTCTTGAAACAATGACCGACATAGACCCAGCAGATGAGGCAATCTACCTTATAGAGATAAATGAGCTAGTTAGGAACTACCTGAGCCATCTTTGGTGTCAAGCTTGAAAAATAAACGCTTTACATGTATTTTTCAGCAACTTCGTCAAATAATTTTATAGCTTTATCTATCTCATCTACTTCAAACGTTTCCCTACCTTTCGTGGGAGCACCATACATTTTCTCAAACTTTTCAAGTAGTTCTGTTTCTGCAGCTCTCATATCGTTAACGAACACAACCTTAACTCTATTGACTGTAGAGTCATATCTTTGAGTTATATTATATGTTCTTCCTATCTTATATCTCTTTGTATTGAAGTCCTTCGGTTTCTGAACGATGTAAAGTAAGCCTTCACTGCAACGTTCTGAGTCGAATAAACCATATGTTATGAAATTATATCCAACAACTGGGTCTAACCATAACAAAACTATTGGTATAAGACTTTTGTCGATGAGATATGCTGTAGTTCCATGAAATCTTACCGATATCATGAGCTTAGGATTTCTTGTCAAAATTTTCTGAGTAGAAGCAATTCTAACCCAGTCGTGTGGTTTCTTTCCAGATGGAGATATAATGTCTGACAAAGAATATTTGTTGTATTTCTTTGAGTATCTTACGTTTAAATCACCAATTCTAACCATTTTGGTGTCATTGTCTATCTTTCTAACTGTTTCAAACTCAATGTTTAACATTTCTGTTCTTACATACAAAATAAAAAATATTTTTTTTAAAAAAAACTAACTTTATTTTTCTATCTTGTATCTTAAGGAAATTCACTGTTTTCATACGGAATCTCTATCCTCGGTTTTTCGAGGGTAGCAATCTTATGAGGAAATTCATGAAATTTGGTCATTTTTCAGCAAAAATAATGTTTATGTTAGAATGTTAGATCTAACATGTTTTCTAACATGTTTTCTAACATGGTCTAAAACATACAAAACTCATGAAATTTCATACGGAATTCAGCAAAAATAATGTTTATGTTAGAATGTTAGATCTAACATGTTTTCTAACATGTTTTCTAACATAACTATTTACAAGCGTTTTACATGGTATATGTTGCGATGGTTCATGACTCTAAACAATTTCGTAGCTTCTATTTCTTCTGTCAGTATGTCAAAAGTTTTAACTATGCCGAAGGTTTCTTTATATTTCTTCTTGACGTCAGATAGAAGGAAATCGTCAGCTGTTGGATAGTTTTTGTTCAGAAATGTCAACATGTCCATTTTATCTTCTGCTGGTTTCTCTGCTTCTTTCTTTAAATCTGCATAGTCGTTTCGCATACGTTCTATCTCTTTGACGGAGTAGTTATATTTCCTCATTGCTGCTTTACATTTAGAACATTGCGGGTTCATTTTTGCGTTATATTCTGAAACCTTACCTGCTAGTATGACTAAGGCGTCAATGGTTTTCTTTAACTCAAACATAGCGGGTCTTATTTGTTCGTTCCATACTTTGCCTCTTCTATCTTTATCTCTTATCTGCCATACACATTCAGCAACTAACGAAACAAAGTTGTCGTAGGTCTTAAACTCCCCAGATTTATATATGTCAGAGATGTTCTTATATACCATATCGCAGTCTTTGTCCATGACTTTGTGGTTGCAATGAAATCCTAGAAACTCATAGTTTACCTTTCGTATGAACTTCTTTATTTCTACTGAGTCAGTTGCTTTGACTTCTATTTCGTCGAATTCAGGAATAGTAAGCTTTTGTTGTTGGATTTCAGGAAGTTTAGGTAGATGGTCAATAATATCCTGCATTTCATAAAGATACTGTTCATTTGTTTCATCTTTCGCACTACAGTCTAAATCTCCTTGGAGAAGTTCTTGCTTTATCTTCTGGATTTTTGTTTCAAAAGTATATGAAGAAGGAATGAAGCTTTTCATCTCTACTAACATTGAAGTTGGGTTCATAACTAAAGAGTTTGGTGCTGTTGTTGCTAACATGTTCTTACAATAAAAATAAAAAATATTTTTTTTAAAAAACTAACTTTATTTTTTATGTTTTTTGTGAAAGTGTCAAAATTCATGAATTTCGAGAGTTTTCTACGATGTTAGAAAACGTGTTAGAAAACATGTTAGATCTAACATTCTAACATAAACATTATTTTTGGGTCTTTTACGCTCATTACGAAGAAGTCTTGACAAAACATTTACGAAGAAGTCTTGACAAAACATTTACGAAGAAGTCTTGACAAAACATTTACGAAGAAGTTTCGACAAAACATATACGAAGAAATTCATGAAAATTCAAGAGGGTAGAAAAGAGGGTAGAAGACAGGTTAGATCTAACCTTCTACCCTAAATTATATTTTTGCCGAATTCTGTATAAAACTCATGAGTTTTCTACGATGTTAGAAAACATGTTAGAAAACATGTTAGATCTAACATTCTAACATAAACATTATTTTTGTCGAAAAAAATGGTTCATTTACTCACAATATTTTTGTACAAAACGACCCCAAACTTTTAACTTCTTTTCTGCAGCTTCTAATGAAATTTTAGCGAGTTCATATTCTCTAAATTCTCTCTTTAAATCTTCTTGTTCCCATTGGTCTAGTTCGTATGGCGAGTCTCTATAACCAGAACATATCTCACGTTCATGTTCTATTTGTTTTTCATGCATTTTTCTAACTTCTTGTTCGAACAAAGGTTTAGCATTCTCTACTGTATCTTCGAATTCTTCTTCATCTAACTTCTCATGAACTTTCTTGTCTATGGAGTCCATAATTTTTCCAACTGCTATACAATATTTTGGAGAAGCCCACATTGCTATATAGTTTACAAGTCTTGGGTCTACATACATTCCTCTAACCTGTTTGATTTCATCAGGAATTCCTGCATGAACTGTGTATAAAAAGCAACCCGCTGTTTTCCGCGGGTTGGTATATTCTTCACAAAATGCTTGTTTTGAGGTCGAGCCACTTTTGGCTCCACCTCTTTTTTCAACCAAAAACTCATTTTTGTCGAATTCAGCACAAAATTCATGAAAATTCAAGAGGGTAGAAAACAGGTTAGAAAACAGGTTAGATCTAACCTTCTACCCTAAAAGTATTTTTCAATACTTTTTCAGCACTTCTCCGTAGTTATATATGAAAGACAATTCGAGATAAAAGTCGTAGTACAATGGAACAATATGTTGCACACCATTTGTTGTGAACCAAACTTGAAAGTCAGAGAAACTGTTACTAGGTGGTTCGTAGAATTTAGAGGTAAGGTCATAAAAGTCCTTACCAATACAAAGAAAACTATTGTTGCTTGAACTGAAACTTGCATGACACATGACATTTTGAGGGTCAAACACGTTTCTATAAACTGTCAAATCTGTTGGTGGGCGTATAAACCAGAACGGACCGTCAGGTGGTAATGGTTCGTTCTGGTTTAGTAACCGAAGAAATTGTGCCCAAGAACGTTTGTCTACTTGCCAAAATAAAACTGTGTATCTCTTGGAGGGTTATTTTCAATCCTTTGAAATGAAACTGTGGAGTTCATCTTGTCATATTCTAGTTTCAGATAGTATGTTCCATTTAGTAAAGAATCGTATTTTTCTTGAAATTCCCAGTAGTATTTGTTTATTTGAGTTTGAAAGTCATTTAGAGTCTTCTCAAGACTTTCGTCTGAACGAATTGTAAAGATTCTCATTTCGTCAAATTTGTCTATTAGACCATCATGACCTCTATATTGACCGTGAAAATATACTGCAAACATAAACGCGTTAGTTCTATTTGAAAACAAAACTCTTCTAAATCCTATTGCCTTTGCATCTGAAGGACTTTGAAGCCAACGAATTGGATAGTCAAACCTGTAAGATCCAGATGAAATTTCTTCATCTGATATAGTCCTACCAGCGTTTGTAAAGATATAGTCTAACGGTTTTGTATCTGCTACTTTTGTTCTTTGTTTTTCAACCTGAAACATTTAATATATGTAAAAATATACTGTTTTAAAAGTAAACGTTTTTACTTCATATTTCTCATCTAACAAACATGTTGTCTGACTGCTTGAGGGTTAGGTTGGTACCATTCGAACTTGACACTTGTAATTCCTTCAATTGCATTCAAAATATCTGAGTCGGAGTCAACCATTTGTTCTCTCTTTGTAGTCTTGAAAGCGTCAAGAAGTTGTGCGGCTGTTGTGACATTGCCATGTGCATAGTATATATGACCATCTAAATCTGTTACGGTTAGTCTGAGATTGTATCCTTTCTTATTTCCGTCTTGAATTGCAGCAAGTACTCCCATGAAGCCTTCTTTGTTCTTTCCTTCGTCAAAGTTTACTGTAAAGTCTCCACCTTGTCCAATTTTACTTCTAACTTCACGATACTTCTCATATGCATATCTTGTTCTTTCCATGGGAGCATGTGCGTCTTCACCTTTTCCTTTTTTCCTCCTCAAAGGATGCAATTGTTCGTCATGTTTCCAGTAGAACCTGGCAAAGCCGTCGTGTCCTTCAACTTGAGGCTCACTAACATCGAAAGGCATGTCCATAAGACGTTCTTCTTCTAACCTCTCTAGTCTGTTTGGATAATTTGCGCGTGCTGTTTCCAAGTCCATTTCATAGCGAAGACCAGACAATTTGTCATAGACTTTTATGGGTCTTCCCTTCCTATATTTAAACTTCTTTGAAACTTTCCAACCATATCTTTCTAACTCTGCTTTTATTCTAGCAGATTTTCTATCCATTCTATATGGGGCATTTCTATAAAAATAAAAAAATATTTTTTTCTTTACTTTACATAACCGCCTGCTGCCATAAGTCTTTGACGCCAACCCATACCAGCTAATGAAGGTTGACTTGGTTTAGTTTGGAAACTAACCTTTGGTTTTGGTTTATCTTCAGTTTTTGGCTCACCTTCTTCTATCGGTTTTTCGTCACTTTTTGGTTCACCTGACTTTACTTCACTTGCAGGTATGGTTGTGTCGTCAACATCTTCATAAATATCATATGCCATTTGTTTTTGTTTTCCTTTCAACTTTTTGTGTTTGTTGTAAAGTTTAGAATATTTTGACTCTAAGTCAATGAGATGTTCTATAATGAACTGTTGGTCAGTGAAGAATACCTTCCCATCTGTTGTCTCGAAAGCTCCTTCAGACTTCAATATTTTATTTGTGAGAGTCTGTTTCTTTTTTGAGATACTTGCCGTTCCATTTCTATGAAAAGTGACTTTGTAGTTAGGGTTTTGTATTTCCAGACCTGGCACTTTCTATTATTGAATTTTTCTCTTCATCTGTAAGTTCTTTGACAGGTTTTGACAATGGTTCTGAACTTTTTGTTTGTGGTGTCAAATCTACCGTTTCAACTTCTTCGGTCATTTCATCTCAGTAAAAAATTTTAGTTTGGTTTGTTTTCAACTGGTTGTTTAGGTTTTTTAAGTCGGTCTAAAACTTCCTGAGGTATAGGAAGAACTTGACAAACACGTGGTGGTGTAACTGCTGGAAGTCGACAAATCCATCTTGAACCCATTTGTCTCAATGCTGTATTGTTCATTTCATCTCAGTAAAAAAATTTACATTCCCCACGTTTGAGGTGGTTGCGGTTGGTTGTTGTTTACCCATTGTTGTGCATGGTTATATCCTCTGTTAAAGAATCTTTCACCTTGGTCCATATAGTGTCCTGCTTGGTTATAGTAGTCATTTGCTTTGTTATAGTAGTTTCCTGCTTCTCTTCCTACATTGTCCATCCATCCTTGAACTTTTCCTCTTGTTTCAGGATTTGGAATAAGATTTGTTGCATCTCGTGCTACATCCCAACCTTTCTGTACAGTTTGTATAATAGGTTGTGCTTTCTCTTTAAGTATACCTAATGTACTCAAAATCTTCCTTCCAATTCCAAATACACCTCTGGCTATTGTTCCCACTGCGGGCAAAAATCTGGATGCAACTCCTGCTAATGCGCCAAATAAACCCATTTCTTATGGGTTAAAAAATGACGAATCCAAACAAGGACCCCTATGTTTCTAAGGCAACAAAGAAAGCACTCATGGTAAAAATCTTTAGTTCAACACCAAATGCTTGGTTTATGGATATCTTGGAAAACATTCCGAGGTATAGAGAAGATGGACCTCCATACTGGCTAATATTTGTCGGTCAAAACACAAGATACTGTGAAGCCATACCATTATGGTCCAAAAATATTTTAGATGTGAAACTGCTTTGACAATATTCGTTGACAAATACCATCCAACAAAACTGACATCTGACTGTGAAAGTTCTTTCAAATCAGATGATGTAAAAAACTATCTGCGTTCAAAAAATGTAAACCAATATTTCATTGTCGACAAAATTCTGCTCTTGGTGTCATTGACAGCTGTATAAAAAATCTTAAGAGACTTAAACCAACCACAAGGTGGTGAG